TTCTTGTAGCTTCTATTGTGTATGCTCAATATCACGTTCTATATTTAATTTGAAACAAGTATCAGTTTAGCTTCTTTATTACAAACTGTACAGTTTTTATCGTGTTTTGATTTATTCCTCAAATTAGGTGCATTTACCAGACCTTGTCTTTTGGCAAGAAAAAATCAAAATGCATGATCATAATTGTTTCTGTTCATGTAGCAGTTGGATATATGTAAAAGATGAAGATTAACTAACAGTGATCAATCTCATAAATGCAGTGAATAAAGCCAATTGTGAACAGGGCAAAACATGGACCCTAAACACACCAAAAGTAGGATGGTTGCTAGGAGGAGTAAACATTCCCTGTCTACCGATCACAGCCGCCGTGAGACGTATGTATTAATCAGGTAGATTGAGTACTCCGTAGTCAAATTTAGTATAAAAGCAATGATCTACATGTAACAAATGGTATGAAACATGTCAGACAAAACACGACCCAAGGAAAGGTTGTATTTACAAACAAGGTCATCATAACGACCGTAGAATTTGTGAAAAGCTGATTTTAAACGGGGTTGTTGATATCCTTGTAGCATCAACTTATCTCTCAGTAGCTTGCCTTGCTTTAAAAATTGACTGTATTCAGAACATGCAGGTGATATTACAATATTGCTACATGAATAAGAAAAGTTGACTATAGAAAAACTATCAGTAGCAAAATCATCAAAACGCAATGTCACACTTCACACAATCAATGTAATATAAATTCAACCAGGATTCAGTGTTATAGTTCTAAAGGTTATAGTCATTTTTGGGAAGAAGAGAATTTTTGCTGCTTGCAGAATCATAGACAAAATATAACAATGTTAGAAGTATAAATCTATTACGTCCATCTCGCCAATATTTTAAACATACAATGTTGCTATTGAAACGCTGAATTTTAAGAAGCAATGTTAGCTCCAGACCCCACAGCAATATGTTGCTAATTATCCATACTTCAAGTATATCGTTCGGAGTGATATTTGATGCAGTCCCACAAGAAGCAATTTTAGTGGGGTGGGGGGCACAACGTAGCAAAACTTCTTGAATTATTTAAAGAAAGTTGGTCCTCAAACTGTATTATTGGAAGGGCACAACACATTGTTTTCTATAGTGTAGTATATACGGGAAAATGATTGCCACCTTGCTCCTCCCCTGGATTTAAAATTTGCAAGTGTAAATTTAAACATGTTTCCATGACACTTAAACCTAAACTATTTAAAAATGATTTTCGAGTGCTTAGAATCATTTTCTTTAATTGATTATGAGGCTGGATCAGAACATATATAAATTTATCATGGATCGTATGTTTTACTTAATGACATGTAGTACTAAGGAAATTCTTTATAGCAAATGCAATTGTTTTACCTTGAGAAAAATGGGATTGTCTATAACACATATCCAAAGGGAATCCAGGTGTTCACCTGTGTACTTGCTTCATTATTCAGTACAGATATTTTTATTTTATGTTCTTAAAATCTTTGTATAAAATTTTCTTACAGGGTAAAATGTTCTTCGGAAAAAGGACATGTCATATTTTAAGGACACGCCATAATTCAAACTAAGTTTTTGCATTTTTATAACAACCTCCCAGAAATGTGCATGATAGAAACATATTACCTTTGTGTTGTTCCAATTGCACCTCGTTCTAAAGAAGCAGAATATTAGTCAAACTTCTCACAAAGTATGGTTGAGCAAAGGGGGTTCCAATTTGTTCAATGAAGGGGCCTGACTCATCCCAACGGTAGACAAACAAGTAGTTTAACCAAAAAAGGTGGAATCATTTACAAATATTTTTTTCCCGAGAACCACTAGGCCAGAAATGAAATTGATATTCATGTAAAAGCTTTCTGTCATAGTGCAAGTTTGTTTGTTCAAATCATTCTCCACTCGGGGGATAGGATGGGCCACATTAGAAAATCAAGGTTTTACGTTGGGTTATAAATAGGAAAAAGCATTCTTTTCAAACATGATCAATCGTGTAAATATGCAAGCATTCTCTTGTAAAGCAGATTGAAATTTTGTTCATACCATAACCCCGGGGAAAGGGTGGGGAAACAGGAATAAGAATATGGAATGAATGTTTTAAATGGGAATATATGAAAAAAATCTTTTAAAATATCTTCTCAAAAACTGCTTTAAGTGTAGAACGTGAATTTGATGGGACTTTTTAACAAGCCGCATAGACCTAAGGGTTGTCATGGACACCATTCTTTCAATAAACCTAATATACATGATGTCTCTTTTGCTTCACTTTTTCATTACGTCAATAAACAGTTGGGTTTGCATCACATCCGCACCATACTTTACTCTGTTCCTTGGAAAGTTTTATATGATCTATATGAAAAGGCAAAAGAAATTTCACATTTGGATTCCTCCCACCAGAATACAGGCTTGATTCTGTGATTAAAGGTGTTGCCAATCATAGTCCTTTCAATAATTCTCAAAAAATAATTTTTCAACCAATATTCTTAATCAGGAAAGGGTCCAGTCTTATATTACACAATTTTTCAAATAAAAATCAATACTGTATTTCTTAAAAATATTCATCCACTATTGCTTCCAAACATAGCTGGACATGTGAATAAGTCAACAATGAGGACTTTAAATCACTTATTTTAAAAAGGCAAAAATTAAAATAATACCGATCTTTTAACTAGCGAAAAAACATTATTCTGTCGAAGATTTTGCCAAACGATGAGTCAAAGATGAAAGACCTTGGAATTTTGTCAAAATTTATGAAAAGTATAAGTTGGACGCTTAATGGTTGTCACTATAGTAAATCAATTGTTTCAAAGTTATCACTATAGTAAATCAACTTTCAAAAGTTTACTATAGTAAATCGAAGTTTTCAAAGTTTTCATAGTGATCACTTTAGTGTCATAGTGATCACTATAGTAAATCAACGTTTTCAAAGTTATCACCATAGTAAATCAAAGTTTTCACCATAGTAAATCAAAGTTTTTATACTGATCACTATAGTAAATCAAAGTTTTCATAGTTATCACTATAGTGCCACAGTGATCACTCTAGTCAATCAATGTTTTTAATTTTATCACTATAGTAAATTAAAATGTCAAAGTTATCACTATAGTTAACTATAGTTTTCATAGTATCAAAGTTATCACTATAGTTAAGTATAGTAAACTATAGTTAACTATTTTTACTATAGTATTTTTGTAAGGTTTAATGCAGACATAGAACGCAAGAGTGAGTCTGGGGTTTGCCTAATTATGGTACTATACTGTTTTGGATAAGTAGCACAAGAAGCATAACTTTGGCAATTGTATGTGCTTAATGACTCTTGTATGAATCTTTCTGATACTGAGATAAATTTTCGCCAAAAATAAATAAATAAATAAATAAATAAATAAATAATAAAAATAAATAAATAAATAAATAAATAATAAATAAAAAGCAACCCACTTTGCTTTTTTTAAATCTCCGCTAATTTTTTTTTCTTTCTTTTTTTTTTTTTTTTTTTTTTTTTTTTTTTTTTTAAAAACACATTTTGTATCATCAGCTCAGAATTAACCCTAAACTGTTCTTTAAAAAATTTATAATTCCATCATTTACATTGGTTATGATGGAATTATTCATGTACATATATGAATGCGTGCATTTTATGTATCTATCTTAAATGTAATAACTTCTAATTATTCATGCAAAGATCTGCATTTATAGCGTACCTTATGTTACTCGAGTTCTAGTCAAACAGAGTTGCTTGTCATCGGTCAATGATAGACATCCAATCAGATAAAGTGTAATTAATCTACTTCCATCAATACTTTACGAATAATCCGGCTTGAGGAGACGAGTTGTTTTAAATAATTAAGATTAAAGTAGATAAGTTCAATTCTAAAACAAACGACGATTAAATTGACAACCGTTGGGATGTGATATTTGTGATAAAGCTTTTTTGGGTCACCATCTTATTGAGGAATCTAACCTTTGCAATGTAAAGCGTTCCATATATTTCAGGCCATCCAAAATGCGTTTTGCATTTTCGATGTTAGATAATGAATTTTTCAACTAGAGATATGTATAATATTTTAAAGATGTTAAGACATACAATACATCATAAAAAATGGTAAGATCAAGGTGGTTTCAACACTTTTTAATAAATAATTGAACAGCATTTTCTGATTTGTATCAAAGACGATTTGCATTCATCAAGATTGCCCTCAAGTTTATAGAATTTGCAGATATTATTCTGAAATTTGTTATTATGTAGTGTAATCAACGTATTGAGTCCCTGACATTCCAATTGAAAAAGAAAAGGAGTGATGCATCCTTGGAAGCCCCATTTAAAAGGGACATCCAAGGGAATTCTATTCCTTCATATAGTGTTTATATTGAACTCTATTCCTTCATTTGGTGTTTATATCTCCCATATGATGCGATACGCAAGAACACGCTCAAAGTACCATCAATTTATTCAACCGAAGCAAGCTGCTTACGAATAAGTTAATGTTACGGGGATTTCAACATATCTGTTTAAAGTCAGCTTTTTGAAAATTCTACTGTCGGTATATTGACCTTTTTTGCGAATTCAAACTTTCGTAAGGTCTTATTTTTTCTGAAATGTCTCGATGTTAGGTCATTGCTGACAACATATTACTCCGTCTACCTGATCTATGCATAGGGCACAAGGTGGGAGTGACCAGTCATTAGGGGATGGTTATACCTCCTAGGACCCTGAGCCCACCTCAGGTGTTTCCATTGGCCCATGTTCTTACCCTGGAAACAATTCATATTTTTAATGGATTTATGAGACCAATTTCGTTTTCCTCACCTTTTACATTATGTATAAAAATTATGAAAATGGAAAAGAAACTTTAAAAAGACACATTTGAGATAATTCAGAACGAAGACATGAAGCAAAACACGATCCTCATTCGTCCTAAACTAAATAGCTATGAGTTTAAATTACGCATAAATTATCTGATAATTAAAAATCCTTAGGAAAATTGAAGGCAAGAATGAAGATTTATGCTGTGGTGTTATTGCTAGGTAAGAAAATACTTTTGAAATTAAGATACGAGTTTTATAATTATGGCTCTTTAGGACTGACCTTTTGAAACATTCTACCGGCTGAATACAAATTCCTTGACAGAACTTGGAAACTCCTCAAAATTTCTCGACAGAGCATGTGTAATTCGTCCATTTATTTTTTTTCTGCATCACAAATACGTAGGAAAAATTCCTGTATCAATTTCTTTATTTTACTTTCGCTTGAAGTCATATCAATAATCTTAAACAAGATGTGTTTGTGAAACACTGATGCCCCCGTATGGCAGCTTATGGCGAAGGTTAAAGTTTCTCAAATGCAAGTCAAAATCCAGGCCAAAAGATAAAAAATATTAAATTTGAAAGCCCTAGCTGCAACTGTTCAAAAGTTATGGCGAAGGTCAAAGTTTTTTTAAAAGTAAGTAAAACATCACGGTCAAAGGGTCGAAGTGGTTGGTATCCAAAGGAAGGTCTTGTCACAAGGATTACATATGTAAAGTATGAAAGCCCTAGCATCAACCATTCAAAAGTTATGGCCAATGTTAAAGTTTTTCGAAAGTAGGTAAAACTCCTATGTCAAGGTCAAAGGGTCAAAGTGGTTGGTATCCAAAGGAAGGTCTTGTCACAAGGATAACATATGTGAAGTATGAAAGCCCTAGCACCAACCATTTAAAAATTATGGCCAAGGTTAAAGTTTTTCAAAAGTAGGTCAAACTCCTATGTCAAGGTCAAAGGTCAAAGTGGTTGGTATTCAAAGGAAGGTGATGTCACAAGGATTACATACATGAAGTATGAAAGCCCTAGCATCAACCATTCAAAAGTTATGGCCAAGGTTAAAGTTTTTCAAAAGTAGGTCAAACTCCAAGGTCAAGGTCAAAAGGTCAAAGTTGTGGTATCCAAAGGAAGGCCTTATCACAAAGAATACACATGTGAAGTTTGAAACCCCAAGCACCAACTGTTCAGAAGTTATGGCCAAGGATAAAGTCTCATAAAATTTTGCAAAAGTGGGTCAAACTCCAAGGTCAAGGTCAAAAGGTCAAATATGATGGTACCCAAAGAAAGGTCTTGTCACAAGGAATACACATGTGAAATATGAAAGTCATAGCTCCAACCATTCAAAAGTTACAGAGAGACAAACAGATAAACAGACAAACAGACAGACAGAACAAAAACAATATACCCCCGGGATCTTTCGATCCGGGGGCATAAAAAGTGAAACAAATAAAATAAATTTGGCTTGCACATTCCGTCTCAATTGAATGTTTCGAAAAATAATTTGACCTTTGTTCCTATAGCAAGTGTCTTCGATATTCATTTAAGGCATACTTACCCTCTGCAAAAAATTTTACTAATTTTTTTTTCTCGACATTGATTTTCATCATCAACAGTAGCATTAGATTCAAATTGAAAACAGTATAAAGTATGAAGCGTTGCTGGGTAAGAAAACAGATAACTCTGAATGCCTAGTCGTAGAGCTAATCCCAAAAAGTCCTAGGGCTAATCCGAAAAGTCCTAGAGCCTAGTCAGAATATTGATATAAGATTGATATATAAAATATTTGACAACGTTATCCATAAAACAACCATACGATTTTAATAGCGATAGAAACAACATAAATGGAGAGAAGCGTACCTTTTTAATTAATGGAAACAAAATTGATTGCTAAGTAAAACAAAAAGAGAGAGAAAAAAAACTTAGAAGCATGTCTATAACTGTTAACTATCATGCCACTTACATTCGTCCGACAACAAAACAGCCATAATTTTTAACTTCACTAATCTGGAACAAAGTTTGACTTAGAACAATTAAAGTTAAACCCCCACATAAAGCCCAGTTTCATGTTTATAAAACATGACCTTTATAAAGGGAAGCACAAGATGTGAAATACTTCTGAATAATTAAATGTGTATGTTTTAAGATTTTCTTGGTAATTCCTCAGCAGTTTTCGCTGTGCGTACTGAATATCTGGTATTATCGTAATTCAATTTTAAAAGGTGCATGAAAGTAAAATAACTTTGAATACCTAATATTATTCATCTATACATAATTCAATGATTCTTTGTGTTTAACCCAATTTTCTAGGCTTGAGCAGTCTCGTCCTTGGGGCTCCTGGAGGTGGCGGTGGAGGGGGTCCACCTCCATATAGCACCGACTGGGAAACATCGCTCAGAACTAAAGTCTTCACTAACTACTCCACACAGCAACGACCATCACAAAGAGTAATAGTCCATGTGTCCTTCACGTTATTAACCATTAATGATTTGGTAAGATTTACAAATACCTTTAAGAATAAAATACCTTACAGTTTGTTCGTAATAAAAGACACTACAGAGTCTGACCCATCTGTTTCATATTTGTATATTTTACTGGAAAAAGACGTTAATGGTAATCTAACAAAAAACTTTATGAAGAACCTGATTTTAACTTCCCGTATTTGAGTAGCAATATACTATTATCACCTGCATATGGAGTTTGTGCCTCTCAGTTGATTCGATACGCAAGAGCATGCTCTACGTGCAAACTATTTCTGAAACGAGGCAAGCTATTGATAAATAAGTTGATGGTACAAGGATATCAACTTTTAAAGTTTAAAGTCAACATTTTGCAAATTTTATGGTTGATACTAGGAACTTGTCAGCAAATACTTACTGTCGTTAAATCGAATTTTGACTGACTTTTTTTATAAGAATTGTTAGGCCATTATTTTCTGAATCGTCTAGTGATCTTCCGTTTGCCCGACCATGACAAGAAGCACACGGCGGGTGCGACCTGTCCATTGGGGAATCTTAATCTTCCATGGCACCTGATCCAACCTCCGATTTTTTTTTAGAGGTCCGTGTTTGCTCTGCTCCCAATTTGTATTGTTTTAGTGGACTTTTGAGCTTTATTACTGTGCGTTATCTTCATATTTCATTCAAAGAGAATTAATCTTAAATTTTGTGGAATGCAACGGGAAATAGATTTAGAGTCTCTCAATCAGATATTGGGAACAGGAATGTTTAAGTACTCTACGGTTTCTTTTTCAACTGATACTTTGTGTGTTGAGCTTTTAAAGTTAGGACAGAACCTATTCCCTTTTTTTGGTACGAAAAGGGCTTGATTAATAGTGTCAATTTTCAAAAATTAGCTCTTTTTTTTTTATCGAAGGTTAACTTTCCAATTGCAAACGGTATATTAACAGAGGTACAGAATGGGAAAAAAATCCAATGCTTTGTGCAAATATTATGATCTCACAAGAATGTGATTTTTTAAACATAAATCGGACTTGTTCAGATTGCCTGTTAAAATTTCACAGGTACATTGAACTAAAAACTAAGAATTGTCAGTAGTATTATCTAAAAATCTACACTTATTCCTTATGAATAAGCGTGTGTACTCAGATGGCAAAAAATTCCAGTCATGAGAAGGTAAAAGAACTTATTGTAAATTGTAAACCTATGATTGTGGTGCCATTTTTCACTTCCAAATGAGCAGGGAATTGAGCTACTTTTTATAATAGTGTTCTCTGAGTATTTCTCGATAAATCTCCATTAACATGCTAAAATTTTTGCACTTTGGTCAATTTATTATCTTTATTAAAAATATAGCTCTCTTATAAATAATATAACAAGTAGAAAAAATCTTTGGGTGATGAAATATAATGAAAAGAAGGATAGTGTAGCTAAATACACTAAGCAGAGTTTGAGCAATAAACTTATAAATATTCTAGTCCGAATTTCCCCTGTTAAATTTCTAAATTCTACCTACTTTTAATCCAATATTACAAAAGAGTGAATGATGATGAACTATAAACTATCTATAGCCTTAATTTACTCGTATTGCGCTTATTCTGCTGGTCTTAAAAATCATTCTTAATGGAAAGGTTTTTTTTCCAGAATATTAAAGATCAGACGATGTCATCGACAGGCTACCTCACACTGGTATGATTTTGCAAAATGCTCAGTTATTTTTTCTAACACAACGTGTCAAAGTTCCAGTTGATTGTATTTTGGATTTAGTAAAGTTGTTATATTGTGAAAATCTTACCTAAAATTAATCTGTATCTTAATATAAAAATAAAATGAACATACCTCTTCAAATCTGGAATTGGATCACATACTAATTGTAATTTTCAGGTTTATATTATTTCATCTTTCTGTACTAGAGACAGAGAAATTTAAAAATAAAAACTGCGTAGGTTTCAACAAAGGCATCTTTATGATGTACGATAGAAAAACTCATTCAAGCTGGCATAAAAAGATATTTTGATTAAGATTTTCAGCGCCAATGTAAATCGTCTTTCTGTCAAGACTTGTCTTTAATTACATTTAACCTGTAGAATCTTCGAGTATAAGACTGCATAAGAATTCCCTGACAATGTTTTCTACATGTTCCACATATTTCAAATTAAAAAAAAAATTGTAACAATAATTTTGTGCTCATGTGTCTTAGCATTTTCAGCTGTTTTGTTACACAACTCTTTTGCATTTGAAAATTTTGGATATTTTAAAGCGAATAATGGAAAAAAAAGATCTATCATTATCTTAACCAAAGTGACTGTTTGAGTGAGAGAAAAACAGGGTGTTATGACTTCTCTTTTTATTACACAGTGTGATTATTATTATTCAGAGATGGATAGACGAACGTTTAAAGTGGGACACCGCAATAGACGGCAATGACTACAGTAATGTGAAGTTTCTCTTCAGCACAGAGTCCTACGTATGGCGGCCAGCTCTTATTGTGGAAAATTCGTAAGAAAAATTATCTTGATCTTGAAGTGTGTTTTTTTTTAACTGAAAAATCTATTATTTGGTATATCCCGACCACCAATTGATTTTACTTTTGAAAATTGTACATGAAGGATTGAAAATTTATAGAGATCTAAACACATCTTAATTAATGATTCTGCTAGTTTTACATCGTCTTTTCGCAATATTCCCAAGTCTATACATAGATGGTGCATAGATTCCTAAACGGACAACACCATAAATAAAAAGAAAAAGAATCTCAACTAGATTATTGTTATTACAATTATAGTAATGGTAGTGAAATAATGTGTTATTTGGCAAAATAAATGGCCTAGGGGTATTAAAATTGTCATTATACTGATGTGAAAATAGACAATGTGACAATTCAGAAGAAATAGCAAGGTTCCATGTAGTGGACTTTTTTTCCTAAAGCTGACGCTTGGTAAAGAATTTGTTAGTTTCAATGGAGGTAGACCTTGGCTTGTATTAACATTGATTGTAATATTGAGTTTAAATCGATTTTGATAGATAAATGAAAGTAAAGAAAATTCAAATAAACACGGGCTAAGAACAGGATGTGTTTGATGTAAGAGAGTCTAATGACTAGGGCATATATTACAATTTTATAATGCAACAAAGGTAATATACTAATGAATGATTATAAGAACTTTAACATGTAATACTAGGAGTATTTAATAGAAATATAGACTCTGTGTTAAAAGTTACATCCTCTAAAAATGAAATAAAAACTCTCCTCTAAAATATTACTTTCACATTCTCCGTAAAGACTCAGAAGCATATATATTCTGAGTACGATATTTTTTTTTTTATGTTACATGTTTTTCGGCTATCTAGTTAAAGTAAGCATTTTGAAAATTCTGCGGTCGTGAAAATGATTTTCTTTGCAGGTACAACCTCTCCTTGGGTCAATTTTGAGTTATTTCTTTACTGGATTTATGAGTTTGGCTGTTGTTTGTTATCTTCATCTTCTTCATTGATTATATATATATATATATATATATATATATATATATATATATATATATATATATATATATATATATATAGGGGAAGGCCTTGACACTTTGTCAGAATAAATAAAACGTTTTTAGATATAAATTAAAGAATAACATTGAGAAATTAAAAGGCAACATGCAAACTACCTATCCTTCCGTTTTCAGTAGGCGCGATGTGATAAAAGAATTGGAAAAAACTACATAGAAAATATGCTTTGGTTCCAACTGACAAAGCTTGTAACAATATACTTGTAGTCTTTGTTAGTAAGGTTCCTTATTACAACTGCATTTCTTGGTTTTAATTCCACAAGTACTTTGTTTTAATTCTACATCTCGTAATCCAACCTATACCAACAGTTCCCTTTCAAAGGATGAAATTCCTCAAAATCTCCTTTCAGTTTTAAAGTCATTGAACATTCCAGTCAATGGAAATGAGTTTGATTTACTGGACATATACTGGATTCCAAAACTTCATAAAAATCCCTACAAACAGAGATATATTACAAAATCCAGTAAAAACTTCAGAGGTATTGTGCTTTGACATATTCAAGAAGTCCTGTAAATCAAATGTGAATTTCAAAAAACCTTCTAAGAACTTTTTGAAATTAAGCAATCTCAAAAGTTATTAAACATTAAATGCATCAACACATATGACTTTTCTATGCTTTATACAACCATTCCTCACAAAAAAGAGCAGGCTTGTTGAGATCATAGAGAACTGCTTCCTCAATAAAATGGAACTTGTAAATTTTCATATCTTGTGATTGGTCATCTTTAAAGTTACTTTGTTAAAAAACCATTCTGATTATACATACAAGTACTCTGAAGTTGATATTTAAAAGATGCCGGAGTTCTTCCTTGACAATATCTGTGTAGTCTTTGAAGACGAGATCTTCCAACAATCTTTTGAAATTTTGATGGGTACTAATTGTGCTACTTTATTAGCGGACCTGTTTTTATATTTTTATAAAACGGAATTTATTCATATAAAATCATGAGAAGAAGAAATCGCTTGCTGTAGCTTTCAACTCAACATTTAGATATATTGACGACGTTTTAGTATTTTAAAACAAGTTAACTTCCATTCTGTCATATGTCAATTGATATATCTCATTGAACCCAAAATAAAAAAAACACTACAGACTCAGCCATATCTGTTTCATATTTGGATGTTTTAATGTCTGTAGACGATAATGGCCAACAAATAACTAAACTTTATAACAAACGCCATGATTTAAGCTTTTCCATCGTCAACTTCCCTTATCTATGTAGCAGTATTCCAACATCACCTGCTTGTGGTGTTTTTGTCTCCTAATTATTCGATAAGCATGAACATATTACGATGATGAATTTACTGACAAACAAGTTCATTTTGCAGTGATTTCAACGATCCCGCTTAAAGCAAGCTTTTCGCTAACTCTAAGGTCGTTATAATTACCTTGTTATTAAATACTAAATGCAACCTATCATTGTGTTGTATTTTTCTGATATGTTTCATACTATTTGTTAGGTCAATGTTTTTATACTTTTAACTTCGCATTACTCAGTTTACGTGATCAATGCATAGACTTCACAGGGTTCATAGGGCCCGGTCGTCGGGAGATATTTACTCCTCCTGGACACATAATCCCACCTCTAGTATTTCCAGGGGTCGGGGTTTTGCTCTGTTAAAGATAAGTTTTGTTAACCCGATTTATGAGATTGATCAATGTTCATAATCTTCACCTTTTACATACTGTTAGCGTCTTAAGGATTATCTATGGCGAACATCTTATTATGAAATAAATTGTAATATAACAAAATTATTCTTAAAAAATATTCATAATAAACGTATTGTGTTTACCTAAAGCAATAGTTATTAACATTAGGTTTCTTATAATTTTTAATCATTTACTAATTTACTATTACAGAACAGGAAGACAAGGTTTTAAAATTCATGTAATTGATACGTGTATACCAGTACATGTATTTGATATATGCATGCATTGATATGTACACAATATTAGGGATGACTTTATGAACACAGAATTTCTTTAAGCGCGTAATTATTAAATTTAAAATTACCGTTATGTATTCCACTTTTATAGGAATTCACAGTGAGATTCCTCTACGGTACACACTCTTCTGACGCTACTGATAAAAATTAAATTAACGTCCAGTTGGGAACATGAAGATCATTCAAAGGAAACGAAGTTTCCATTGCAAGACAAAAAGTACCTTGTAAATGTTGGATCAGCTTTAAAATCAATTTAGTTCAATCAATTAATTTTATAATTAGATATTTTACTATAGATGTGCGATAAATGACCCCTCAATTATCATGCAGCTTTAATTTAGCAGAGAAACACGGCAAAGCAATTACAATATTCCTGTCCTATTTTTAAGTATACCAATGTATCCATTGGTTATTTTTAGCTGTTGACCCTGGTCCTGGTTACGATATTGACTCTCTTTTTTAAAAACAATAATCTTCTAGGGCAGAGTATTATGCATGAATAATTGTTCGAGCCTACAAATAAAGACCGGTTAACCCAGTTTAGAACATAAAGTATGTGAGACATCCTGTCTTCTTCCGATATTTTTTTTCGTATGTCAAATAAATCTACATATATGGAGTTCTAACCTATTACTTCGGGGCTTGCACATTTGAGATGCAGGAACAAAAGTCTTACAAAGAAGTTTTATACAAATTAGGGACATCTAAGTGCATTCCAATTCATAAATATTTGACTTGGTTGTATGACTATAAGGAACGAAATAGTAATCATGTACTGTATGCAATCGGATTTGTATAGGAAAGACATTAATCTCAAAGAATCGCCGAGATATTCAAGAAATTGACATGCCATGAACACATATATCTAGTACTGAAAAAATCCACCTAAAATCGATAAGTCCTTCACAAAATAAAAATTAAGCAAAAGATAATTACCATTCAATGAATCTGAAGCTAAGACAGTAAAACATACCGCAGCGTCGCGATGAACTAAATGTCTTGACAGTGAAAGTTTGAAATTTCAGACTCGTTTTCTTATGAACTCTGTATCCTAGGTTTTAAGAAAAGGTAATAAAACATTATATAATTATGGACTCTTTATGTGGTTAATCTGATTTGATATTTACTGAAAAAATTTCAATATTGACCGAGGCGACGCCTAAAATATCAAACAAGATTAGCCACCAGAGAGAGTCCTTTATGGATAAAGTCCGGTGGTTGCATGGCGACACCATTTTCATTAACGAATTTCCGTCGCAGAAAGTTTTTAAAATGTCTAGATTTCAAGTTATATCCTCCGTGTATTTCTTTCGTCATGAAAGACTTCATTTCTCGTCAAAATCTTTGGATGATAAGCTTGCAAAATGTTTTCAGGCCACAGCTTGCTCCATCTGTTTACAACGTTGACAAGGGCTACCTGTATGACGTCAGAATCGCCGATGCACACACGCTGACCCTACGGTGAATACTTCCTCAAATTCGGTGAATATGTATTGTTATAAACCGTTTGCGGATGTAAAGATTGTTTACGGACTCTATATAGACCATATAATAATAAACCTTATACAAATTTAATAACGAAATACGTCAGGCTCTTCGGGAAAAGGAAATGCACAATTCGTAAATCTTGGGAAGGGAAATTCAAATTTTAACAAAATACAAGTTGCATTTATTTACTACCTGGGGTTTATGTATCATTTATGATTATCATTATTAGGGTCTACCTTCCTCAGCGGAAGACCCTTCTATTATTCTTTTTCACTTTTCTTATTTTTTTCTGCACGAAAAGAAAATTCTGAAATGTTGTTAAATAAAAATCTTTAAAATTACAAGACCTTTCATTTGATATCAATAAGAAAGGGACAAACCCCTCAAATTAGGGACTCAGAGGGGCTTTTGGCTTTAATCTATAATTCTTCAACGATCAATATTTTGTTATAAATAAATGAAGCAAAAACATTTATCTAAACAATCTGCAACCATATTTTATAAAATTTTGACCCATTATAATTTATATGGGGCTATAAGGGGTCAAGATGCTAAATCTCAGACTTTTTTTTTTCGAAAAGGGGGAAAATTTTGACTAGCAATATTGAACAAAAGCTGTTAAGAATAATATTCTTAATAATATGCTTTTTTAAATTTTTGGAAAACGTGCATATATATATATATATATATATATATATATATATATATATATATATATATATATATATATATATATATATATATATATATATATATATATATATGTATGTATGTATGTATGTATGTATACTTTAAAGAAAGCATATCGACTGAGCACTTCATGCTTGCTCGATATGCTCTCTCTAAGGTCTTTATATCTAGGGATTGACATCCAGAGGCTATATTTGTATAGTATACCTTAATTCAGCAACCTTTATTTCTTTATGAATATTTAATCTTCAAAGCTTAAGGCAAACTCTTTCTAAAATTTGCATTGATTGAGAATTGTTTCAAAGGTTGGAGAAAATTATAGACTTATATAGCAAAAGCAAAACGCAAATCGAATTAACGTCCATATTATTTGCATCTTTAACTACTTATGTCTAAAATCTTAACTAAAATTTTCGTTGAAATGCGTTTAAACAATTTATTTTAGATAAATGATCGGACAGACAGAAAGACAAAAGAGTGTCGTAGCTAGGCATACTTCTGTATGTACTTTGGTGTGCATATGGTATCTTTATCTCCGAAATGATTCGGTATGCAATAGCACGTTCTGGGTACGACTAATTTATACATCGATGCAGGTAAATGAAAAATACGTTGATGATAAAGGGACTTGAACAGTCTCGTTTAAATTCAGCATTTTGCAAACTCATTTGCTGTCATAATGATTTTGTTTTATACAAATACTACTTATACCTGGGTCCCATTTTGACTGACATGCTTTATACCAATCATTAAGCCTTTAGTTTGATTACAGATAACTGCATTTTCCTGAATAATGTACAACTACGCTCACGACGGTATCCATGACAGAGAAAATTTACTCACTCTAGGCACATGATCCCAGCCCTGGTGTTTCCCGTGGTCTGTGGTTTTGTCCTGTTCTTGATTTTATTGTTTATAGATCTTATGAGATTGATCAATGTTCGTTTCCGTTCCTTTTTCTTTGTTAATGTAAAACTCAACCGTATTCCTTCTCTGTATCCCCCAAGTGTTTTCCCTCGCAAATATTTATAACAGTTAAATATAGTTAACTTAAGTATATACAATACGTATTTTTATATACTGTAAACCTTTACTGTAAACGTTTTGTGTAAAAAGTTTTTTTTTCCTTTTCTGCATGCATGCATTTCGCTTGTTTCAGTGATTTGTCATTTATTCAAAAAAATACCCTCTTAATATAATTCTAAACTGCATTTGACTGTAAATTTCAAATAAATAATATTAAACAATTTTAAATGTTGATAACAGAGTTGAAATGTTGAAATGTGTTTCTAGAAAAAAAAAATGTTGTTTTATAGAATGACATGATGGATAAATCAGCATTTAAAAAAAAATCTTTCTCAAGGACTAAAATCAAATGAAATACTGCCTGTCATAAAAGTTTTCCAAAGATGTCGTGTCTGTCATCGTATTTTGACCTGTTATGACATTGACTTTCTTTGATTTCTAAAAATTATTTTAGTTTCATAGCTCACGATAGAATAAACTGAGACTTTTGGCACATGTTTACCTCTTAACATTTTGAATATTATTAACCTCTGTTAAAAGTAAAGTAAAAGTATATGCGGTATATGCATATTTTTGCCCCCATAAAAATCCAAATTTCGAAATTTCATGATTCGTGCTGATTTGAATATATTGCATAAAAGTCTGAATTAGCAAAAAAAATATTAAAGTTTGAAAGAGGGTTATCGGTAATTTTTGTTTTTATTACGTCACAAGCTATTTTGATTTTTAGTTATTTTTCAGTAAGAGGAAAAAATGTACTAAACTTGTTCAATTTTTACCATATAATTTATAGAGCGCAAACCTGATCCATAACAATGTTCACATATTCATAGATATTATCAATCTACACATTATCTCAAAGCACTGGTTTGTAGCAGACCTGCTCTCGGTGACTTTCACTCAAAATATCGATATAATATACACTTTTTTCTCTAAAAATCATGGAAATTTTGAATTTACGTCATTTTCCTGACGTCATATCTGACACATGGCGTCATGGTCGTCATGGTTGATGAAAATTTTAATGCTTTGTAGTCTGCAGATATCCCTTTGTTTAGAACATAATTTTAGAATTCTTCGTCAAAGTTTGATTTTAGGGGCAAATATTGGTCAATGTACCATAGGCCGCCATGTTTTCTATAGTTTTAACTATAGGATATCTACACCATAACCCATGAGCGGAGCCTTTATAACCTATAGGCGGTGCATGTCTTAAATTGCATACAAAATCAATTAAATTTTATTCAAAATCTTTGATTTATTCTCGGTAGACTTTAGAAGGTTTTTCCATATCGTCGTCATCGTTAAACTTTCCAAATCGATGGTCAGAATAGTCCAACTGCTGTATAACATTTTCAGGTGTAACCGGCTCCTGGGTCAAATTAAAATCCGTTTGAGTAAGAAATAAATCCCCAGTACCATCAAACACGTTTACTTCGTCCTCTATCAACTGGCCTATCTGTGAGAGAGCTTGATCATCGATAGAATTGTCCCATTCAAAATTTTGCGGAAGTTCAAGAAAATCCAGATCCATGCTCATTACGCTGTGTTTGTCCATTTTCGCTTTTTGATTGCAAGTGCACAAAATGTGCAATAAAATGTAATATATATGCACAGTGTATAGCGCGTGAAATTATAATTATGTCAGGTGACAAACCATATTAGGAAATTTATTTTCAACTTATACATCATCTCTCTGCCATATTAGGAAATCTGAGAGTGCTATGGTACATGTGACTTACCGTATAAGTTTTTTATCGGTTTTCTCTAGATACCCTATAGAGAGGTTAAAAGGTCACGAGAAGGCTGCGTCTTCTCGTGACCTTTTAACCTCTCTATAGGGTATCTAGAGAAAACCAGTAAAAACTTATACGGTAACTACTACATACCTAATATTGTCCTTTCTCCATCTGACTTAATTCATCCTTAACAGTGGTTCGTCATGAGGAAACTGCCCTCATATTCATCTTAAAGAAAAAGGATTTTTTTTCGGTGAAGACATTATGGAATTTTAAAGCATTCTACCACGATGCCGCTGCCTATTAACTCTTAGATGATGTATAATTGATATCATTGAATTTTGATAACTAGAGTCGACATTTGGTCTACATTTAGTCATTTCTTTTTACCTAGCATGTCTCTCATTTGTATTTATGTCACTCCTTCTAGTTAAATTTTACCAGTTACGTCAGACTTGAGAGTAATAAACACTTCGCTTCAATTTAGTTACTCTTAATCTCGTGGAAATTTGAAAACAAAACTCCGTCCTTTGAGAAACTGCTTTCAATTTAAAGCTAGGCTTACCTACACTCTATTACATTGTGATAAATAATAATAAGCAAGATCGGTCAAAGTCCACCTTGAAATCCAAATTAAGGAAATATACAAGAAAGACAAAGAAAAATAACTCTTGTTTTTTCTAGTAAAGATGTACCTCTTAATTCAATCATTAAAAATGAGAAAAGATTTGTACAAGTTACATCATAAAAAAGTTGCACTCCGAAGCCAAGTTTTAAACATATTTTATGCAGAGATCATAGTTTAAATTATGGACTGGTCTATTGATGTTGTAATAAGCGTTATGAAAATGAGATTAATTTTATTTTTTTGCCAATATATTAAGGGTAGCATGAAGCCTATTTTTAAGTGCGGGTTTTTCTGTAAAATGGACAAATAAACAACTTTGTTTTTACTTTCAATAATAAACATTTTGAATTATATACAGTGTATTGAATAAAAAAAATATAGTTATTCTAAATGTTTTTTTTTTTTTAATGATGCATTTTTCTTTAATTCCACTTGTCTTTTTTTATTTTTCTTTACACTAGTGTTTCTGACGTGAAAATCATCAGTGATATAAACACACCGATGCGAATACTGAGCACAGGAAGCATTGAATGGAGTCCTATGGGACTGTATGTTGTAAGCTGCGAGTCGGACATCACCTATTACCCAGTAGATTCCCAGACGTGCTTCATCAAAATCAGCTCCTGGGGTTACACATCTTCTGAGATAGACCTAAAAATGAAATTTTCTACCATTTCTCTAGGATTCTACAGTCCCAATGGTGAATGGGATTTGATGTCCACCTCAGCTGAGGCCTCAGCTGCCAAGACAAGAGGCGACTTTAGCTTCCCGAGCCTTACATTCACCGTGACCGTGCAGAGAAGGCTCCTGTTTCACACTCTGAATACTCTTTTTCCGGTGGCACTCATGGCTTTTCTTATTCCCATGGTCTTCAAACTTCATTCCGAGTCTGGAGAGAAGATTGGATTTTCCTTAACCGTCCTCTTGGCGTATGCTGTGTATCTGACTATGATATCAGACAGTATTCCGAGCACTTCCTTCACTCCGTGTTACTTGTGTAAGCAAAATTTTATATATTGTGTTCAGTAAGAATTATTCTTAATAATTATGCAGTTTATTAGGAGAGATTCAATATGAATTCTATCCAACTACCTGCGTGTTTTCTATCCCCAACTCTTTGACGAGGTGACATGTACAGGAACACAAGCTAAGAAAAGTCACCCGATTCCGACACTGGTAAACTTAATAAAGTGTAATATAAGCTCATCGCCGATAATTTCTCCAAGAGAGGCGCAAGACAATTTATAGCAGCAGCTTTGAGCTGGTGGATCCTATGCTCTTCCTTCTGATCCTTCATCTAATCTTTTAATCTTAACTGTTCTTTGTGGATACGTCACTGCCGAACAGGAAGTTTTCCATATATGTATGTATCGTCTCTGCATTCCTTGTGCATTTCATTTTGCTCTAAATAAGTCATCTTTACTCATTTTAGAACATTAAACAACTCGGATAAAATGAAAATCAAAATTACCAATAATGTATCCGAAATCTATTTTCCTCTTCATACCACGCTGTTCAATTTAAATAACCCTCTGCCTCCATAAACCCTACTTTAGTTTCCTAGGTAAAATAAAAAAGCGTCGAATGGTTCTATGAACTCTTTGCTTCCCAGTTTTAATTAAAAATCAGTAACATGCATATGTGGATCAATCCCTCAAAGGTACATACATTGATTGCATCGCACCACTCTTAAAGGAATAACAGTGATAAACATTAATCACCCTACATCTAGACTGAGCAAAAATACGATATGAATGTATTTTTTAGTATGCACACAATAAATTTGATAACAATCATATGCAATCACAATTAAATTAAAGAAGATTCTGTTTTTCGTTATTTGAATGGTCTTTTATGTGCTAATCATTCCAATTCTATTTTCAGTCATATCCAACTACAAATCATGGGAGATTCTTTTTATCCCATGTTTAATACTTCACAACCAATGTTTTACACTGTTTTATATAGGGCTCCACTTTATTTTACTTCATCACGCTAAAGCAAAAACCGTCACAACTGCACATAACTGGGGGATATGAAAAAAATATCCAATGAGTCCTATCCACGGGATAAAGGGGTAAACATAGGATATATATATATATATATATATATATATATATATATATATATATATATATATATATATATATATATATATATATATATATATATATATATATAACGTTTGTCTTTATAGTATGCAGATATCTTTTTCTTTTACATTTTTCAGCGATCTATTTGGTCTTTATCCTGGCTATATCCTCCATCTCAGTTCTTTGTACTATTCTCGTACTGAACTTCAATTTTGGAACCGATGAAGATCCCATTCCAAACGTCACCCGGGTAATTGTTATCTCAATTATTGCTCGAATAATTTGTTGGAAACAAAAAAGTTGTCGGCCTCGGAGAAAGGTGGCAAATTCTTCAGTAGAACTAATTGAAAATTTTCAGTCCACGCAGTCCACCGAGCAGAAAGACGACTCGTCAAGCGAGACCGATGACATCACTTGGCAGGATCTAGCAAACATAATGGACAGAGCATTTTTCATATTTTTCTCACTTTTAATTGCCTTGGCTACTGTAATGTTTATCTCTGTTGTTTTTTCTGAACGTGCGTCTTCCTAATCTTGTTGATGATTTGTATGTTGGATTTTAGCTTCCATGGCGTCAAAAATATGCTAAATGAATGAAAAAGTAGAAAAGGGTGTTTATAAAATTATCATGTTCAATCAGCACTCCGTTGTATTATCATTTTCCTAATCAAGTAATAAATTTGCTACTTTGGAAATTCTGATGGCGAATCGCATTACTATCATCAGTTGAAGACAATTTAGACTTCATTGTACAAGCTAAATATGTCAAGCACATACAATGTCAAAGAAGATTAGAAAAATATACAGAAATTTCAAGCAATATGCGGAAAACTCGCAACCATCAGATATCAGTTCTCCAAACGTGTTTACCCTAACAAAAAATACTATGGTAAACTAACATTAACTAGTTTACTACAGCAAATAAAAGTTTTCAAAGATAATTAAATGGAAGTCTCATTTAATTTCGCAACTTAGATATTGTCCAATGTAGATTTTTCTTATTTTATCAAAGATATCTGTTGGTGTCTTATATTCACAACATGAGAATTTGTGTGTAATATTTTTATTTTAAACTTAATTGTTAGTTAAGGAAACTTTTTAAAAAAATATTTTTCAATGACTGTTAATGGCAAGATATACGTATGTTAAATAAATAAATAAAAGTTAGTCTCTTATTTAAATTTTTTTTCTCTGACAGAAGCCCGTTGAGGCCAGTTCAGAGAAAAAATATTTTTATTGTGTTCAATCGCAATAATCATTACGTTTAAAACACAAAACACTTTGCATTTAATCTTAAAAGATTGCGATTAAACGCATTCTTTTGCGTTTAAACGCAATAAAAAATATTTCTTTCTCTGAACTGGCCTTAACGGGCTTCCGTAGTTTTTGCCAAGATTATCAGATAGTTTGAAAAGATATATTACAGAGGAGCTGGGAGTAAAATTTACATTATTCCAGTGAATTGAGTTATATTTTCATATATGTAGAGGACAGATATGCAATGATCAGCTAACTGCGTATTTACGACTGAAAAATCAAAAGAATGCATTTTAAATGAAGTAATGCCTGGATAATTATAGAGAAAGGGTCTATGAATATATATTTGTCATTCTCGAATTTAATTACCAGACACTAAGCAAAATAACATTATTATTAAGCAATATCATCTAGAAATTAGTTAAAATTCATGTTTGTGCAGGAGATATGGCTAATGGCAACCACAGTTTCAGTGGCGAAATCTTCCATGGTTTTGTCATCAGCTCTACGGACCGAAAACCCTGGGCTGATAAAGTGTTTTCTAATTTTTTTTCCATCAATCTGTTTATTTTATAACTTGGAAATATCCTCCATCTCAGTTCTCTGTGATATTCTCGTACTGAATTTCAATTTTGGAACATATGCAGATCCCATTCCAAACGGCACTAAGGTAACTGTAATCTCCATTATTGCTTGAACAATTTGCTGGAGAAAAAAAATTGTCATCCTCAGAGAAAGGTAGCACATTTTAGAGTAGGAGTTCTTTAGGGTTTTCAATGTAATGTTAATCTTTTTTTTTCTAATCGGTGTCTCTCCCTTATATTGTTGATTTTTTGTTAAGTTTTCTGAGCGTATGGCGCCATTAAAATGTTGAACATTTTCTTCTAATTGAATAAAAAATGGTTGGAAAATCGTGTTTACTACTATTTTGGTCAATAAACACACCGATGTATAATAAGTATACTAGAGTACTTTGGAAATTCCTAATAAAGATTATATTCACTTACATTAATTCCATCACCAGTTGAAAACAACTTTTTAAAAAAAATGTCCAAGCTCAGGTAATTTTAAGGCTAAAAACTTTTAGTTTCAGTTTTAAATACTGTTAACATTCCAGTCAAGGGAAGTGAATTTTACGTACCGTTTGTTAAAGTCCTTACAAACGAATATTCTTTACACGGTCCGAGGAGCCAAAGAAATTTAGTCCAAATTTCGGGTGCTTGCTGACACCTCTACAGGATTTACAGCTGTATTTCCCTTAGAAATGTGGCTTGCATACATTCTGATCTAATTCATTTTTTACTGATTTTTACAGATTTAATGAATCCATTCAATACTTAAGACATTGACAAACTAGAATTAAGAAAGTTATTCAGTTAAATCATTGAATTATAATGCAAATAAGCAACTGAATAATCATACACTTCAGAAGCCAGGGAACAAATAGCAAACATGGTATGGAAGGAAGCTTGGATCTTCACACATACCTTTCTTTATGATCATATACTATGACAAAATGAAAAATATAGTCTATTAAAGTTCCACTCTTAATCGGCAATTTTCTGTATATAAATAAAAAAAAACCCTATTTTTTCCAAACCATACTACATTAATATTATATAAATAGCCCTTTTATGAGGTCGATCCATAGATATATCGACTTCACAGAAAAATATATCGACTGAGCATTCTGTGCTCAGTCGATATGCTTTTCTGTGAAGTTGATACATCTATGGATTGACCGAATCAAAGGACTTCATATTTATATATTTTTTTTTGGAACACAAAAAAAAAAAAAAAAAAAAAAAAAAAAAAGAAAAACAAATTCATTATTAGAATTTGTAATTTTAAGAGACTTTTCACGATATTAAACACATCTTTGGATTTTCCCTTAGTTATTTTAAGTAACTCGGGTCATTATCACCCTTCTTAAATTTAAACTTAATATGCTTTTTGTAATATTGGTGCCATTTAATAGGGATGAACAATCCAAATATAACATAACACAATTCCTGTGTGAATATTGTCATTTATTTACAATAAAACGAATATTATCATTTTATATAATGATAACAAAAACAAGCCAAAAAAAAAAAGAAGAAGATTTTTCAAACTGGAAATTTCAATGGAAGTAGTTGGAGCAAACTAGATTCGAAAACATTTTTCTATTTCTTCCAAATAGAGCTATATTACAAAAATTCATTTTCAGAATTCGATTAAATTTGTCTCAAGTTTCATGCGAAATCTTTACAGGCCTAATCTCAAGTTATGGATACGTTATATTTTGTTTTCGGAAAATAGATCCCAACGGAACCAGTGTTCTGTCTGTTTTCTTAATGATCAGCTTCTGAAACTTCACAAAAGAAAATCTGATATACCGATGTTGTCTTAAGGACATACGCAACGTAGTTTGAACTTTATTGTACACTTCTTCTAAAACAAGTTTGGATAAACAAAAAATCTAGAATATATGTTAATTAATTTTTGTATATTTTTCTTTGAACTATACAAGAATTTTCATCAATTGATATCTTTTCAAAACCCCTGGTATTAAATGCATGCTGATTTTTTGTCTACGAACATCTGATTGCACTTTAATCTTGAATTAAGAATATCTTGAAAAATTATCAGTAGGTAAGGTACGTTGCGTATGTCCTTAAAACCGTAAAAGCAGAAATTTTAGCGAGGATTTAATTTTGGTATTTTTAGCGAGGATGTTAAGATCCTTAAATGTATAGCTTGTTAGTTGGAAGGAAATAAAACCTTAGAACCCATGCTTGTTTTCTGTACAAGTCTACACCTAGTCAATTTTGTAAAAGATTTTTTTCTTAACTGGATTTAATTTTAATTAGTAATTATGTTCAGGAAAATCCCTAGCAAAGTTAAGGCTACGAAATTAGTTTAACCGCTAAGCGCCAAACAAATTATAAACCGCGTGCAAAATTTATCGATATTTTCTGTATTTAGAGATTGCGTCATCGTAGGTAGATTTGATTATTTTATGGTTGTGTGATATGTCAAGCACTAAAAAAAAACATCATTTCGATATAATTCAAAATACATTCAAACTGAAATCGGTGAGATTTGAAACTTCTTAATAAATGTTAGATGCTGAACGTCATCTATGCTATACAAGGGTTGTTCAGTAAGTAATGCAAAAGGTAATCAAATAATAAGAAAAACACAGAGAGCAGATCCTTTATATATACTCTTCAAAAAAAAGAAACGCATAATAATAATAATAATAATAATAACACTCTGAATAATATACGATAGTTTTGTCATACTAAACAATTTTATTTTAGATGGATATGATTCATTCAAGTAAAATGCATTATTTTTTAACGTTGTTTATAACTTGTCAGCCATTCTACAAAACTCACGGACAGAAAGACCTGATTTTGCAAAATTCTTATTTTTTCTTTTTTCACCTTTCTTTTGTTGGTTTCTGATGCACATCCTTCAGGTGCAAACGGGCTATCAAAAGCTGGGGTTTTCGATATTTTGATTCTGGTTTTAACTGAAAATTGACGCTATTTAAAAATGCTGCATCTGAATGTTGCATATCGCAAAAAGGAAATAGACGACTGGAAGCTGGTGTACCACAGTCTACGATTAATGTTACACAAAGCACTATATCTAACCTATAAAACAAAAACCAACAGTATGGGGCAACAAATGATCACCACAAATATGGCAGACCACGCATGACATCAGCAGCACAGGAACGCTTCAGGGTTTGCTTAATTTTCATCAACGTTTCATAATGACGTCCTTTACAGCATTAGTTATCCCCGAACTGCATAGAATATCAAACAAGACCATTGCAATTGACTATAGAATGTTGGAATTAACATCAGAGGACTTATTCATGCCATTGTTCTGATCGACCCCCGTATAGATGTCATACCTGCACATGCCTTTCCAATATTGCAGCATCGCGAAGCCATATTTCAATTTGACAATACAGAGACATATACGGCTCGTTTGACAATCGCATTCTTGCGAAACCACAACATCCTGTTCTGCCTTAGCCATCTAAGTTGCCAGATTAAGACCCCATTTTTTATGCATTGGACAAAATGGATAGGCATGATCGACCAAAAACACTAGCATCGAGACTCTTCAACAGCTGACCAAAGCTCTACACTAAGGGTGGGATAGCATTCCCATACAGATTTTAATACACTCATTTGCGTTCTTTAAGATGCCATTTTAAGCTGTCATTGGAGTCTGTGGAGATATGACCTTGAACTGTCTATGATTCTGAAATTC